CAACGGAGATGAAAGGCTTTAAATATGGCTGCTGTAAAGGGTGGAATAAAGTTCGCAAATGATGATGGTTCTGTGTGTGAGGGTAGGAGGCAGAGCGGCGGTATATATAGCGAAGTGCCGTAAAGAAAAGCCAAAATCATAAGTTAAGCCCCTGAACTAACCCGTGCTTTGAAGAAGAGGATAAGTTGTTCCACGCGCTTAGAGTAAAGAAATGACGAATACTCGCTTCCTTTATTCAACACCTGTCACTGAAGCCAATGGCTAGAAAGACTGTTTGGATGTTACAGTTGGACACAGTTGTAGCCATTAAAACTGTAATATATTATTTTTAAAAATATTAATTTTATTTAATTTGATTAATAAAAATAATTAATAAGTATAATTATTAATTAATAACTGATAAAATGATTAATATTTATTAATTAATATATTAAAATCAATATTGGGAATAACTGAGACACGCCGTATGAATGTGCTTCGCGAATGGTTGTCCTTATTGGGAACCGAAACCTGCGACCTGGAAATACTAAATGTGGGAAAGTGCTACCAGGCCCGGAGTTGGCCTCAGTCAGGAATTTCTATGTGTCACGTCACGTGTATTCAAAATATAGGAAGGTGGTTAAGAGGTTTCCAGAGTGGAAACAGTTAGGTTCGTAGGGGCCCATGTTCTGTCGGAAAAGGAAATAAGGCAGCGATCTAAGAGGTAGGTTGGATTGGATTGGATTGAGTTTACTCTCGTACTCCCTCTGTTCCAATTTATTAGACTTTTTAGAGATGTGCACGAGAATTAAGAAAATTAATTAATTATTTTTAAATTTAGAGATTTTTAAGATTAAAATACTCTTATACCCTTTTAAAATTGGATAGTTAAAGAGGGGAGAGGAATCAATAAAAAACACCAGTGAGGGTAAATTTGGAACAAAAAAATTAATGCAATCTTGATTTGCTAAAACGTCAATTATTTAGGAACAATTTTTTCTCTCCAAAACGAGTAATATAGTGTAACAGAGGGAGTAGATGGGGTTGTGGATCAATAATTGTTCACCAGAATTTGATTTAAACGATTTACAGGGTACTTGCGGGTTGAGTTTTGTTTTTAATTAATTATAATAAGATGAGTATATTTTTAAATCTTAATTAACATATTTATTTTTATTTTATTAAAAAAATTGTTATTATTTGAAATATACTAACCCTCTAATACTTACATAAGTTTATAATTAACATTGAATAATCTAAGATAAGTTATTTCTTAAAGAAACAAAAATAGTCATTAGAAATTGAGAACTAACATCAGTTAAAAATAATGATGCACCTCAAAACCTATTTTT